AAAATGTGCTGGCAGTTTGAGTTGCTAATCTGTTTTACTTATCTAAATAATATGAAGTTGATCTCCACAGTGAAAGATGGGAGACTTGTATACAACTGTGCACTAGGAAAATTTCAGAATTTATGTAAAAGATACCACAGATTGCTTTAAACAGGCATTTTGCCCTCTGACTTGGCCAGTTGCCATATCAGGGATCAAAACATTTTTTTTAATGAGAATTTGTATGTCAAAATGATGTATGATCTCTGATTCAAATGTTTTTATTCTGTTGCTGGTCTTTTTTTCCCATTTTACTTCTCACACTCTTTCTTTGAGGCTGATGTGTGACTGCATTCATTTGGAATTCATGTTTCTCTGTCTACCTCTGCTAAGAAATACAGTCACTCCCTCCTCATGGGACTTCAGTTCTGTATTGAAAGATTACCCTAGGACAAGATTAAACATCTGTTCTCACTGTGAAAAGTTCCATGAGAGAGGATGAGCTTGGAGTTTATGAGTGATGAGCACAGCCAAACTGTGGTAGATTCTCAGTGGAATATTTAGAGATAATTCCTAATATATATTAGAAAGAATGGGAGAACTAACTCATCCAAAATAATAAAAAGCACTAAAAGTAAGAAGACTTAATTATTTGTAGGTTTACATATTAAAATAAAATCCCTGTATGTACTAAAGCCTTTTGCATGTGGAGAATTTGTATTCCCTACTACTGGTTTAGTGTTAAAGTGCTTGAATGCTTGAATTAAAGGCTGTGCTTAAATACTTATGTGAATTATAGTCTTGACTTTCTATGGCTGTGTAGTCATGCCTGGGTAAACTAACAGCAGTGAGCATAAACAGTAAATAATTCAAATTTGTACACAGTTCTTCCCCACATACACTGAATGGCTTATGTTCTTTATCCACTTGGTTTCCTGTGTTAAGATGTCAAGCAGTTGCTTAACTTCTTAAACTTACATGGCAAAGCCAATCTTGCCAATCTTTTTTAACATGCCTGCTGAATTATAAATAATGTTAATCTGAATTATAAAAACAAAACCCCAAAAGAAAACCCAAAAGACCCTGAAATGAGAACCTGTTGCCACTTGATTTGTTGTTTATTGTTTTAAGCAAGGTCCCCTATCTATTGCATATGGAAGGTAGTGCAGCACTCCTGTTGCATTTTCAAACTGATTTACAGTTGATCTATTTTGCCAAAAATATCCCTGTTCTCTTTATAATTACAGTACCTGGCAACTATACCAATGTGGCTGATCCAGAGCCATTATTCTGCAATTAGATTTTTCTACTGAGTATACCGAATGGTTTTTTTATTTTCTTGTTTCACCTTATCCGTCTTCGCTTTGAACCATCTGTTGAACAAGAGGGCTTATTCCTCTCCTGCTGTATCTGCATTATACATAAGCAGAAGATGCCTAACTGAGGTGTTCTTGAACTTTCAGTTATCACAAGTTGTCAAGCGTACAACTGAAAATTTTTAGGGCTAGGCATAGAGTGTATGGTTTCCTAGGAGACTAACATCCCTGAGTAGGACTAAAAAAAGCCTTATAGAGTATCTAATACTAGGCCAAGCCAGTACTTTATCTTGATGCCTTCAATGTCTTACATTATCTGTTTTTTTTATGTGAATACCTATGGAGAAGCATTTTAAGATGCTGTATTAGAACCCTTAAAATAGCACAGTACTAAGCAACGTAGCGATGTTAACTCCAAAACCATCCTAGTGCCTTAAGAGGAAACCCCAGCATATTATCATGCTTCCTTACATTAATTACTGAGTTAAAAATCAGACTATTAATTCTGTAATCACAAAGGTAAGACAGCACTGTATGAATTAAACATTGCTGTGAGGCTTTCCATGCAGTGGAGCATTTTGATGGGATTATTGGGCCCAGGTTGAATTTGTGTCATTCTTGTGCTATTGGGTTTCTCCCTTCCTTGACAAATCAAAATCCTGAACTAAAACTTCTGAGTGTCCTTAGTTTATGAGGTGATTTTTACTTTGCAATTGTAAACCAGCCTCAGAGACTTAGTATCAAGTCTTAGTGCTGGGTTGGTTTTATCCATCACATTTACATGAGTCCCCTTTTAGATGTAAAGAGGCAAAAAAAGTCACCATTGGGTTTTTTACTCTCAGTTCCTACAGTACTTTATAGCCTTGTTGCACTTTCTGTATTGCTGTTTTGTCTTTAGACAGGAAAGACAGTATAAAAGGGCTTATCTGTCTATCAATATATTTAAAGTAGTCTTGTAATTATACTTTAAATTATACTTAATCAAGGTCCTTTTCACTGAATTTTACTCTTCTTGAATTGTGAAATTTCTCCTTTTTATCCTGGCGTATAGGTCCACTTGCAAACCACTGTGCAATGATAGAAATTACTGTTAGACATCTAGGAAGGTGCATCAGTGACAGGAGAGTTTTCTGTGTTTATGATATTTTTCTAATGCTGAGAAGGCTCATACATGGCGCTTTTCTCTGCAAAGGGAATCTTTCAAGTCTAATGACTGCCCAAAAGTTGTACTGATTTTTTTTTTTTTTTTAATACTTATCTTCTGAGCTCTCTTATTTCTCTCCTTTCAAGGTTATTCATAAGGAATGGTCTCTTTTTACCAAAACTCTTTCAGAGAAATGAGCAAACTGCTTCCAGCTGGATCTGATAGATGGCTCCCCTGGCTAATGATCCCTAGTTAATCAGGAGGAACTGCAGGGTGAGAGAGCAAGCAAACAAAAAGCTGGGAGAAATAGTCATGACATTCAAAAAGGTGCATAAGCCTCTATTTATGCTATACATGAGTATTTTAATAAAGTGTTAGGAAAGAGTCATGCTTCACACCTTCTAGTGCCCCTCATGGCTGGGCTCTACTGCATAAGTGCAAAAGCAATTTGGGTAAATACTTACACGCCATGATAGCGGAGGTGTTCTGCCCTTTCCTGAGCTGCTCTAGATAACAACCATGATATCTATACTTTTGGCTTATACATAGTGATATTGCTTCTTATTGATGGGGAAGAATGGAAAACTGTTTTAAAAATGCTTGTCTTCAATTTCACCGGCAAGGGACATCATGAAAAAAACTCTTAGCGTAAATATTCATCTCCTGAAGAGCCAAACAGACTCATTTAAGAAAAGCAAAGCAAGAATCAACCTCACTTTGTACAGGGTGAATTGCTGGAATATGCAGGAAATTTTATGGTAACAAAAAAAAAAAAAAAAATGTTTTTTATGTTTTAATCACAAAGGTAATTTATTTCAGAATGTTCACAATATTAGTAACTACCTGGATAAAACTCTTAGTAATAGCCAGTTAAAATATTTACTTCTGGTCTTTGTAGAACATATGCTGAAAGAGAGGGGCTAAAATTTCTTTCTTAGACAGAAATGACATTAGCTTTGTGTTACTTTATTAAGAAACATATTTGATACAATTGTTCCATTGAATTTGGAGTGGTATTTGATTTATTAGCTGTTTTTTTTATAATCATAGTTCCTCCCCAATAATAGTATGTAATCATAAAGATTCACGTAGAAGCTTAGTCTCAGATTTTGTATTATGTTAGTGTCTTGCATGCATTTGGGGATGAAATAGACAAAATGCAATTCGTGTTAGTAATGAAATAGCATAGACAGAAAGGGTTTCATGATAGGAATTAATTTCCCCTCTTATAAGTAACCTTAATTGTTTTAATTAAGAATTTAAATGAAATTGTAAATACATGCACAAATTTTGAAATAAAAAAAAAAATTTTAGCTGAAAAAAAGTCTAAAATTGAGTCACTACAGCATCTTTAATTGTATAGTCTGTGTTTTTAATGTCTTGTGTAGTGCAAAAGAGGGAACTAACAGAGCCTTACAGGCTTTAAGAATACCACTGGATGTTTCTCTCAGCTTCTGGTTGCTTTCCTCTTTATCCACAGCTGTAGTAGCTCTTGATTAGCTGTGGATCACATGCCCTTGATCACTTACTGCATCCAGCTGATTAGTTTCCCTACAAGAGCCCTGGTGGAAGGAGGTGTTTTCTTAAGAGGGTGCCTGGTGGTAGAAGGACGGAGGTTATAATCTGATCAATGAGATGTAAGAGGAAGAAAATGTTCTTGAGAACCTGTGTAGGCTTGAAGGGTTTTAAAACCCTGAAAAGTACATCCTCTGCAAGAATGGGAAGAATGAAAGTAGTTGAGAAGAATTGAAGGCTTTTATTTTCTGATTTTCTTTGAAGTGCTTTTATTTGTTCTCTGCTCTCTTACTGGAAGACGTAGAGGTATGGTAGCCTGAGGTAGGTACTAAGCAAGCCAAGTGATGGATGATGAGAAATAACTTGAGAATAAAAAGCTGGAATAAAAAGTCTGTGCTTTACTAGGGAACAAGCAGATAATTTCTTTGGGGACGCACAAAAGTGACCAGTTTCTGAGACAACTCCATGGCGCTGTGGCATTAGAAACAGTGAATAGATCTGTCTTGTCCCTAGGAGTGCAAGGGTGCTCAAGGAGCCTAGAGCAAAACATCTGCTTTCCTCATTGTTCCTTCTGGAAGGAGGAACTCCAAACTTCAGTGCTGAAGTTGCATTCTGAAAACATGAGTGGGTGTTAGGGGTGCTGTAACATAAAGTAACTTAGTGACCAGGTCCCTCATAGTGACTGAAAGGCATATTGCTGGAATTGATCAATTTATTCACAATTTTGCTATGGAAAAGAAAGTTCTTAGCTTCATTTACAACTGAAATTTTTCTATATAGAATGGCTTTAACCTGATTGTGTGTCTGGATAGAGGAAAGTTAGATTAATTGGGTGGCTTCAGAGGGGCTTTTTAATCTTGTTACTTATACCTACTTTCTAGTTTTGTATTGAAAATAACAGAAATATTTCTAATGACCTTGCAGGAAATTTCTTTGAGTGTTCCAGGCACAGTGTACTAATTGAAGTTCAGTGTATCTTCTTTTTGTATTTGTAGTACGTTTTTTGCTGTCAGTTTGAGGTAAATAATTCTTTTGTTTTGTTGTAGGGAAAGGTGAACATGGGAAACCATACCCTCTTACAGAGGAAGACCATGATGATTCTGCTTATAGGGAAAATGGCTTCAACATATTTGTTAGCAACAACATAGCACTGGAACGGTCCCTGCCAGACATCCGACATCCTAAGTATGTAAACTGTTTCCTGGACTATTTAATTTTAAGACTTAATCTTTGTGTATCTCTAGATAAGTTGTTTTCCAGGAAGGTAAAACATAAACAGTCAACAAAAAGCAATCATTTCATTTTATAGGAAGTGGAAAGTTTACCACTGTTGTTAAATCATTTGCTTGGTTTTTTAAAGTGACTTCTCATCTGATTAAGAATACAATGCATTAAGAATATAAAAAGCCTCTTTTCATTAGAGAATGATTTTTATTAAATTTCTGTGTAGTGAATTGGCCTAAAAAGCATTCACATAGTTTCTCCAGTTCTCTAATTTGGTTAATAGGTGCAGATCTTTGGGCTGGGGAGTGGAGTGACAACTTGTATATAGTTTTTGGCTGTGATTACATAGTGTTTCTTCTGTTTTGTTACATAAAAAGTTAAAACAATGCGATAACTGCCAAGTGCTGATACATCAGCTGATTTATGCTGTGTAGAATTGTGTAAAAACAGAATATGCATGATGAACAGGTAGAATTCGGGAGCACTGGATGATGGTATTGTTCCCTAAAGCTCCGTAAAGTTCCCTAAATATTAACACAGAGAAATGGGATGAAGGTTATTCTGGAAAATAACCAGAACCACTGAGCTAAGAATTGTCATACAGCAAACCTAACTTACTTTTCATGTTGTTTAATTGTTGGCTTCTTTATACAAAGTGTAGGACTTCCTGTCTGTGACAGGAAAAGGAGCACTATGTAGACTCCAGGCTCTTGTCCTCTAGAGTGATTCTGAAGCTGAACTCTGAAAAGGGAGCTGATTTGATTTGTGTCCTTAGCCAGTATTTTCGCGATCTTTTAATTGGATGTTATGCACCTAGTGTATGGGGGAAAGGTGAGGCAAAACGAATTGTCTTCATGACTATGTTTGTGTTTTCCTGCAGATACAATTCTCTCTATTGTACAAAGATTCATGTTAAGATATCGTCCCACTTCTTAATTTATTTTGATATGAAACGTTGTCAGAGAGCAGGGCTGAACTTCAGAGCTTGACAGAAGTTCTCTTGACGGAAGTGCAGGGAGAAGAGAAACATCATGGCAACTAACACATTTTTATGTCAAATGTGCAACTGTCTTTTTCACAGAATTAATAGTATATGAATATATGCATAGTAAGAGTTAAAGAAATCACAGCAGATGAATTAAGCTTTTATTAGAGATGTTTCTAATTTAATTTTAATTGTTAACTGCCTAATTTAATTGTTGCATTATTCTGAGAAAGAAAACCTGTTTCTCTTTTATGTTGTAAGCAATATATTAGGATTGTTTGCATTGGATTAAGTAAAAAGAAATATATTTTTATAACAAGCTCAATGTTTTATATACGTTCTTTGTTTTCTGCTGTGACAAATTAGCTGAAATTATATAATGAGTGCTTCCAGGAAGTTTGAGTTCAAATGTACAGCTGTACAGCATTGACGCTGTGGTAGATTACATTGTTGGTATATTAAATGTGTTCATCAAGCAACCTCCTCTGTTAGTAAGACTGCAGAGGATAATGGCTAGACACAAAAGGAAGCTGTCAGGTTTGTCATCCCTCTGTGCATTTGTAAATTGGTCTTCTGGCAACTTCTTTCTCACCTGCTGCTGTCCTCACAGTCCCTGACATTTCCATGCGTGTCCCCAGAAGCGATGTGTTGTCAGAAGTGACATATTAGGACCGAGTCAGTGCCACACCAGACTTTCCCTGCCATCTTTTCCCCAGCACAGATATTTTTCTGACTTGCACCTAAGCATCTCATGTTGGAAGCTTGTATCCTTAGGTACCTGCATTGTCTCCATGTTCCAATTCAGCCAGTTTCCTGTGTCACTCAGTGAAATCTCCTCTGGTGGGTGTTTTAGTAGTGTCCTGACTGAACTGACTTGAGTCATGGCCTTCCAGCCTTCCTTATGTTAAACACACATAATGCAAGTAGACCATTAGTTAATTGACTGCATCACATACCATCTAAAGATAAAGGGAAAAAATGTTATTGTGCTGTAATTGCCTACTAAGTAGTGTGTCAATTAAGGTGACTCAGGTGGGCTCAATACTTCTGGTGGCTATACCTTGAAGCAAGTGTATTTCTTGAACTTCCAAGAGACACAGGAGTCTGACAATACTTTCTGTTAGAAGTCTCTAGGCTGCTGTGTACTAAGTATGGCCAGTCTCAAACTGCACTTCACTTTGGAAATGTGTCCTCTCTTCAGAAGTGTGAGTGAAATGTGAAGTAGTTCACATGTCATTGTGCTGGTTTTAGCTGGGGTGGAGTTAATTTTTTTACGAATTTGTGTGTCATCTGTGCTAGACGCTGGGGCTAAACCATAGCACTAATAGGGTTGATTTCAGACAAACTATTGGAAAATTATGTAATTTCTGTCTGAGAAAAGGGTGCTCTTCAGTAACATTATAGTAGATAAATCAGGTGTGGTATAGCAGGCAGGTTTAATTTGGCCAGCTTTTGAACATTATAAAGGGTTTGGCTTTGTGGAGCTTCTACCTGCTTTGAGGCCTTTAGCTGTCATCTTAGGCAAATTTATGGGAGATGCTAGTATTATAATCCTTGAGTTTTGATCGTCTGTCTCTATTTAGTGTATGCCATTTGCACAGGGAAAATGGTTATCTTCTGCTGAAGATGTATTTCCTGAAAATACCGTCTATGATATGTTTTATAGAACCAAATAGGATGGTCTTATTGCCATTAGTAGAGAAAATCCACAAAATTAGCCTTCAAATGCTACAAAACTAAGTGATAAATCCTGTAATTTGAATAAAAACGTACTTAAATCAAAACAGCAGCTGGACTAGTTTCTACATTCTTCTAAAATAGAAACTTCAAAAATATTATATTCCAAAGTCAAACCAAAGAAACTTGAAGAACCACTTCCAAGTGTTTGGTTTTCTGGGAAGTACACAAAGACAGCAGAAAAATCTTGTTCTTTTTTATCCAAATAAACTTTCTTTTTCTGAGTTTCTTTAGAATTTGGGCTCAGGATTTACAAATGACACTTTATGCAGGGGGATGGGTAGAACTAAACAAATGCATAATGATTGAGCTCTGAGAAAATCAAGTTTTCAAATCTGTTTAATAATACTCTTTTGTTTTTCCTGTGATATTTAAAATACTTCAGTATTATGTTATGATGGAATCTTCTTTCCTTTTTAAGACAGCAAAATGTGTGTGCTGTAAAAGAATCTGTACTGGAATGAAACAGTTAACTTCTAAGGCTGATGTGACCTTTCCTGTATCTTTATTATGTTTTTATTGTAACCTTCTAATATCACGCATGCTTTTTTTTTCCATCTTTCATAGCTGTACTCAACGAATATTTTTTTCAATTTCTGAGTACTCTTTGATGTCTTGTTTCTGTTCCTCTCTTGTATGAAAGCCTTGGCACAGTGGGTGCTGAGCTACATAAGCTAATTTTCTGTTCTCCGCCCACAATCACCTATGTATTTCAGTTTAAACAAAGAAACACTCAAACTAAACAACTTTCTTTTCCCCCTGATTTTAAATAACAGTCTGAAAGAGACTTATCACCTCAGTTTATTTGGTTTCAGGACTGATTTAGTGAAATTAAGAGTTCTGGTCAGCCAAAGTAAAAGGGAACATGGAGTTTTGGGTAGTATTGAGACAAAGCAATGGAATTAATATTTAGGGGTTAGAAATTCTGTACCAATATAAGAAATATTTCAAAAGCCACAAAACGAGGGTTTTCATTCACTTCTGTTTTCACCTGCTTTGTGCCACTTTGTGTAGTCTAGAATACAACAAACCTGTTAATGCTAAGGAAAAAATTGGCAGTATTATTTTCTATTGTATAAAGAGAAATGCTACTTAGTCTAATACTAATAATTCTAGTACCAGTTGAAATTACTTCTTCTCCACATTATCAAATATTCTGTTATTCATACCAGCTTTGTTCAAACAAACTGAATCTGACTTGAATTTTGAGTAGCGTACTAATAATGATTTTAATGAGACTTGGGGGAAGGATTGCAATCCTCTAGTCTGAACAGTGAATATAAATTTTTTGACCTATCCTGTTTCAAGCTCCTAAGTCTTTTTATACTAGATAATCCATTTATTAAGCTTTTCATTTTTGACTCAAGGAATTCAAGTTACTCCCTGATACCAATACATTTGCAAGCTTTTTAATTTAAAATATTTTGTTTTACATGTTTATATATCTTAATTTCAACAGTAGGTCTGCTTTTATCTAAAAGTTTTAGATTCATTGCTGATAACCATTTCCTGGAGTGTATCAAGCACAGCATTGCAAGACAGGCAAGGGAGGGAATTGTCCTGCTCTGTGCTGGTGAAGCCTCACTTTGAGCCCTGTGTACAGTTTTGGGCACCCCAATGTAAGAGTGATAAAAAAGCTATTGGGGACCATCCAGAGGAGTATCATGAAGATGAAGGATGTACAGGTGAAGCTGTATGAGGTGTGGCTGAGGTTACTTGGTCTCTTCAGCCTGGAGGAGAGAGAGTGGAGACCTCATTGCAGTCTGTCTCATGAGAGAAAGAAGAGCAGGCACCGATCCCTCTTCTGTGGTTATCAGTGACAGGACCCTGAGGAATGGCATGAAGCTGCATCAAGGGAGGCTTAGGTTGGATATTAGATCAAAGGGGTGATCAGGCACTGGATCAGGCTCCCCAGGAAACTGGTCACAGCATCAATCCTGGCAGAGTTCAAGAAATGTTTGGAAAATGCTCTAAGACAAATGGTGTCATTTTTGGAGTTGTCCTGTGCAGGGCCTTGATTATCTTTGTAAATCCCTTCCAGCTCAAGCTATTCTATGTGTTTATGTCTTGGGTAGTCTTAGATCAGATGTGCAAATACTCCCTGGCTTTCCTGAGTAATCTATCACAAGAAATCTCATCCATTTAAGGTTTCCCTGGGCACAGATAGATTCATTTGGCAATGAAATTTTTAGCATTCTTGTTTATTAAAAATGTCCAACATGATTCTTGTAGTGTCTGG